TGAATATGCTAAAGTGAAAAGAATCCATGCAATGATAGAAAGTAAATATGGATAACTACCAATGTTACCTCACGGTCAGGGTTTGAATTTTTAAATCCTCCGGACAGGACTTTACTGGAGACAAGTTCTTCACTCTTTGGGTGCATCATCCGGTCTCAATGATGGAGACCCAGATGGCTGCACATCTTGTGACAGTGTCTCTGATGGTGGTGTTACCTTCTCTTTCCATACCTGCTTGGTCTGTGGACTTGACTTAGGCAGAGTAGGTTCATCTTTTACAACTTATTTAGGTTCCTCATTTTCCTTCCAACTTTTCCTTGGGAATTGATTCTTTTGGTTTTGGGATGATCGACGTCTCCTCCTAGAGCGGGTCTTCTTCAGCTGCTCATAAGAGGTATAACTATTAAAATGACACGCGAGGGACGACTGTTCAATAAAACAAACTAAAATTAAAAATACTACAACGGCACAACGGGCAATGGGATATAGGAAGAACAACGATGACCACAAATATTTTTGTGAGGCAATTTTCTTGATTTATAGGATGAAGGAAAACACAAGTAAACTAAAGTAAAGATAAACCTGATGGTAATACCTGAAGCTCTTATTACCACTTGATGGGGATAGGGTTCCAGATGTTCCATCAAGTTCAAGATAACTATCGATTTGGGCAGAAAGAGACACACCGATCCGACTTCAAATCACAAAGACCCAAACCCTGCAACCTTAGACCATGTCTCCTTTGGTTATCAACCGTTACAAGGTCTAAGGGTCGTCGCTCTCTGATCAAATCGATAGTTATCTTGAACCTGACGGAAGATCGGGAACCCATGTCCCACCCCCATCAGACGTGGTAGGGCCATGAGGGGCCACCTAGTGTGGTCGACTGACCCCACCCAAGGGTCGCCCAACCTGTCCCACTACTACCACATCATGGATCCACTCCTCTGACAAGAAAACACACTATCAAGCCATCTCAACCATTGATCCAGAGTCGGTTGTATCCAAGGGCTCTCATAGATTGTCACAAGGAATGGAGGGCCCACCATGAGTGTATGGACAATTTCCATGGCACCAAACCGCCATAGCCCAACTGTTAGCCAACTTGGAGAGGCAACCGGCATCATGGGTTCAATGGCGGTGGAGATCAAGGCCGGTCAACCCTATAGAGGTTGCCTGACCCCACCCTGGCACCACCGACCTTCCATCTTCAACTACAAGTGCCCCATGGCTCCTACACACTATAAATAGGGGTGTTGGTGACACACTTATCATCAAGTGAAAGATCACTCCAAGGAAGTAGTGTGGTCTAGGGTACTTAAACTAGATTTTGCACCAAGCCTATTTTGGTGTTCTTTGGGCTATCACACATGTCGTGTCGTATATGCACAACATGTCCAATTTGACATGGTAATTGGGAAGTTTGTTCTTTGTAGTATTGTCGAACCTGTAGTGATTGTTATTCATCTTGTATTGTAGCTTGTTGAGACCTCCTATGATAGTCTCTTGCAAGAATCAAACAACTATGGTTGCTTGTAAAATTGCCCATGGGGATATAAAAAAGTCAAATACTGCAAAACAAATTATTCAGTTACAAATCATAGTCTGTCTATGTTTGGTAGCATTGATATGTGGTTAGGGTGCACACTCTTCATATTTATAAATAAGTCAGTACTATTGTACTTATGCGGTCTTGGAAGGAGATTATTTCTATTGTTTAAAATTTTTCATGTTCAATAATATTGTGCAGGAAGTTGGTGGGCATTCTCTGCAGTAAGCACAGTAGAAAGCATTAACCAAATTGTTCCTGGTGGGATGGTGACAGTGTGTGAGCAGGGTTTGTGAAAAAATGCTAACGATAACACAAGGCCGGTCAACTACCATCACTTCTATTTTTAATCCAGGTGCTAAATAAAACCATGGTAGCCAAATAAACAAAATGGATCAAATAGCTTATTGTTTGTCTAAAATTCTCTTTTGATATGAATTTCTATTTTGTCAAATATTAATCTAACATCAATCATGATTGTACATAATCGGCTTTCATTTGCTAACTAAATATGTGTGTATGTGTATGTCCAAACATACTATGGTCACTAATTTCTATTTTGACAAATATTAATCTAACATCAATCATGATCGTACATAATCGGCTTTCATTTGCTAATTAAATACGTGTGTATGTGTATGTCCAAACATACTCTGGCCACTAATTTCTAATTAGACTAATCAACCATAAGTTTACTTATTGGCTAGCTGATTAATCATTTTACAATCATGAGAGCTTTGCCAATTACAACCAAATTTTATACTAAGCTGAATTAAGCTTGAATTTAACTAATTTAGCCAAATAAACAGTCTAAGCATACTATCAAGCTTAATAAACCATAGAATAGTGTCAAATGTGGTATAAAAGCAAATTAACAATGGGTAATATATCAGTTACTAAGTGTTTAAGTCGCATGATGCATGGTGCCTGGTGCATGGTTTGCCGGCGATGGTAAAAAACTAGATTATGGTCAAATGATAATAGATTATTATATACTACTCTGGAATGATAATCACATTTTCTATACAAGAAAAAAGACAAGTTTTATAATTTTTAACCAACAAGTATCTAAATTATATATAAGTTTAGGACATAAAATATATCAATAGATTTTTATTTAAAGTGTTCATAAGATATTATTGATTTTTGAATAAAAAGATAATATATTGCAAAAAAATCTAGGACAAAACTTATTTTATTTGACTTTTCCTTCATAAAAATACTCTATCCGGGGCAGAGGGAGTAGTTAATATAGATGGTATACTAGTCACTAAATCGTATCGGGTAGCAAAATAGTTAATGTCTTTTGACTTGATTACATGATATCTGTCTCTAATAATAAAAATGTAAAATTTTAGGTCATTTTTTTGTCCAGCCCATTCAATTCGGTCCAACCGTCCAGTTCACTCTCTCACGTCCGGCCCACTTGAGGCCCACTCACGTGACTCACATTGCTCCGATAAAAAATAGGAAAAAAACATCGACGCCGCATCGTTCCAGCCGCTCCTCCGTCCGCCACATCGCCGCTGATCCACCCGCCGCCGCTGCCCTGTAGCCGCTCTCGTCCCGCGCGTCGCTGGCGCCACGCGTGACTCCCGGCGGCCGGAGGTCACCGTCCGCAGCTCAGCCAACATCTATAGACATGGTCTATACACAAAGGGGCCCACATGTAAGACAATGTGAAGGAATGCACATAGCCAACAGCCGAAGGAGAGAGGGCATCGAACCGAAAATACTGAGTTGGGATTTCCGTCCGTTGCGACGAATCTTCTCACGTCCCGGCGATCCTCGTCGCCGGCCACGGGAACCTACCGGTGAGAGCATCATCGTCCACAGGGTGTGACGAGTGTAAGTGGTATCAAAGACAGTGTATCCTCGGCGTGGGCGACGGGCGACCTCAGCTCCTCTCCGCGCTAGTTATCGGCGGCGGATCCACTGTTCCGGCGCGGCGACTTCATCGATTCGGCGCGACCCACCTTCAGCTCCGGGCGGCGCTGCAGCGGCAGTCGACTCGGACTCCGTTTTGTTCCGCGGCGGCTACTCCTTTCGGCGGTGGCGCATACTCTGGTGGCGTGTGGCGGCGGTAGACCACTCCTTGGGGGAACCCGACGTGGCGGCGTAGAAGAAGCGTGGTGGCTTATTCTCGGTGTGCCTGTGCTACTCGTCGTCGGCCATCCTCGATCGGGCGGCGCAGCGGCATCTTCGCGCGGCGCACGGTGACGATCCAGTTCCCTCGTGCCGACGCAGGTGACGGGTTTCGAGTCGTGGAATCTGGTGGTGTGTATGGAGTTCCAGTGGATCGATTCGGGTGCGGTGGTTTTCTCTTCGATTTTCAGCGCGGACGGCTTTGGATCGATTTGCGGTGTTTTCTGGTTCCTCCCAAAGCCTTATAGTGACGCTTGCTGGGAGCAAGTTATGGAAGGTCTGAACATGTTGTTTGCGCGTGAGAAGTTCAGAGCTCCAGTGCCATCCAAAGGTACTGCACTTCTGGTGTTCGATCAAATGCCTCACTTGGATGTGGTGTGGGATGATGAGTTGTTGCACGAGCAGAAAGAAGCAGGGTTTGACGAGTGCTTGGTTGCAGACAAAAAAGGAATAATTGATCTTGTCATTTACTGATTTGATCCCTCATGATAGTGACATGGATACTGCAGATAAATTGTTCAACAATATGCCTCCTGAAAGTACTGATGGCTTGGCTGATAAGCCATGGCTGAAAGTACTGTTGGCTGATTTGTTGTGAGAGAAAAATACTGTTCGTTGGCTGAAAAAGTACGGCTTATAAGCCAAGTGAACAGGGCGTAGATGGGATGAGGAGAGGCAATCTGACATTGGCACGCATGAAAGCCTGTTGCAACACCTAAGCTTGAGTGTGGATGATGAGAAAACAAAGCAAACGGTCAAGCTCAATGCCAGTGTAATGCTTACTCCTGTCAGCACCTCATGTCTTGTTAACCAATGTATGAATGCTGCAGATCAAGTATTTGATGATTTTCCTAGCAAGGTTTTGGTTTGGGATGAGGAATTGTTTCATGACCTTGATTCACATGATGGATTATTGCAGCAGCTAGCTCTGGGTGGAGAGTGTTGGGATGGTGAGAAGATTTGTATCCCTCCCTCACCAGGCAACACGTGGTCTGATCCTTTTAGTGACTTGGAATCAGTGAAGCTGCACATGACTGCACAAATAGACAACATAGAGGCCATTTTAACAGAGGTGGATAATGTGAAACATGAATTAGGTGCATCAAATTGTCAGGTTTCAGAATGTCAGTTAAGTGAGCCAGTTGTGCTTGAGATAAGGCAAGAAACAATTGATGATTGTAAAATTCTCACTGAAATGCCATGTCAAGAGGATACATAGCAACTAATTGAGCAGGTCGTGTCTGGGGTTGCTGCCGCATCCAAAGAACCTGTACATGTATTGTTCGATGAAATATCTCCCAATGAAATGGCCGCAACACATCTAGAGCAGGCTGTCTTCATGACACCGGGGGTGTTTGATGGTGATGCCGCTGAGGCGTTGCTTGAAAATTTTGGACAGATTGTGTGGGATGAAATGCCTGCTGCTATCGGCACTCACCACGGTTTGTTGGATGATATGACTGCTGCTCGCTCAGTGTTTCATCAAATGCCTTCATGGAATCCAAACGTTTTCAGTCCCTGGAGTTTAGCTTGGTTTTCAATTGTTGGCCTTCAGAAATTTCAACAAGTTGACCATTCTAATCACTGAACTACTGCTGTGAGCAAGTATGACCTTGAGAGGATGCTCTGTACAGGATGTTTGAATGTGCTATGGGATCCAGGTGGCAATCATGACTGCTTCATGTCAGCCATTGCTTGGGGACAAGCAATGTTTTGTGGGGACGGTATTGTCATACCCGGTACTATAGGATATATGTGCTGGGGAAACGAGCAGCAGCTTGAGCTATATATGATACCTGAGAGACAATGGGATCCAGGTATCCCTGGTCCTATTCTCAATTCCACAAAATTAGTGCTGAATGTTGGCTCATCCAGGAGGGATGCTAGTGAATTCATGATTACAGCTACTCTGGGGATTTCTTCTTCTCATAGCTCAAGAGATACAACTGAATTGTGTGCCTGGTATTATAAATGCATAGCTGATGTGGAATCAGATGGGCATCAGATTGCTGTCAGCTCATTCGAGAGAGCTCTTGGACTGCAAATTCAGCATCATCTCTCTGCAAATCGAAATGAAAGAACCACTGTCCTGAAAGAAATAAGGCTTTCCTTGGCTCCATATCTTATCAGTTGGTGCACAGTGCTAAAATATCGAGCATTTAAGTGCCAAAATTTGTGCGAACTGTACAAATTCAAACAAGATGAAACTAGTCATGGAGAAGATGTTCTACAGGCTTCAGTGCTCAATCAATTCTTGACTTGGAAGGTGTGGAGATGCATATCATAGAGTGATGCCAATTGTGCTGCTGATCTGGTACTTGAGGACATGATTTTTGGAGTTCTAATTATTGGTAATCTCTCTGCTGGAAAGAGATGTTTCAGTGTGCTCATCAACGACACTATATGCATATCAGTGTTACATCTTGATGTTAGGGACCCCTTGGTTATTTTATCCATCATCCGTCCATGGGATCCTGGTATTTTTCATGCTGTTGCTTGGGGACAAGCAATGTTTTGTGGGGGTGGAAATGTAACATCTATAGATATGGTCTATACACAAAGGGGCCCACATGTAAGACAATGTGAAGGAATGCACATAGCCAACAGCCAAAGGAGAGAGGGCATCGAACCGAAAATACTGAATTGGGATTTCCCCTTTCGCTGTTCGTCCGTGGCGATGAATCTTCTCACGTCCCGGCGATCCTCGTCGGCGGCCACGGGAACCTACCGGTGAGAGCATCATCGTCTTCCTCACGTCCTGGTCCTCACCACCGGTGGCCACAGGGTGTGACAAAGGGCCGCGTCCAACTCCCGGTGGCACCAGCGCCGCGTTCTTCCAAGAAGCTGGCGCCACCGCCGCCGCGGTGGCCGCGGGCGCTGGTCTTCTACGGCGGTGGAGGTGCTACCACAGAGGAGCCAGCCAGCCAGCCACCAGCTCGGATTGGGACACCAGCTCAGATCGGGAAAATATCCATGGTAAGTTCGACACGAACTCACGTTCGACCCAAACTTCTCCACTTTTTTCCCATAATGTGTTTGTTTCTCTCTTTGGTTTTTTCCTCTTATATAATAGCCCACGCATCTTGTTAAAAAAAATTAATCTATGTTCACAGCGAAGTCTCTGCATCCCAAACCCGATCTTGCCAAGTTTTAATCTTGGTCTCGCTAGATTGGAATTGACAACAGGGAATCTCTCGAAAGGCGATGCCAACGACAAGCAACTGTCCATGGGGAAAAAGTTTTTAGAGAAGAACAAGTAATTTTGTTCTGTGCCTTTCATCTTTTATTGTGGATCTTAGCTGGGTTTTCGAATTGTGATATGTCAGAACCAAGTTATATATATGCGGATTGTATTGTATTTGTTGGAGTAAATATTCTTGTTATTACTAAACTGTAAGGCTTGCAAGTTGAAAATTTTAGTATGCACTCTATGTGGATATGACTCTTTGTGCATATGACTGAAAATTTTAGTATGCAACTCTGCACGAATACTAATTAGCCCAATTAACCAGCAACCATGAATGAATTTTAGCATGTTTATCAAACAAAAAGAAGAATAAACATACGGATGAATTTATTGACAACTTGCACACCTGATCAGTAGCATTGCACTTCTAGCGCTTGTAATTGATACATATATGTAATTTGCTTGTCATCTTGCTCGATTTTGTCCAAGTTTTTATTTGCTGAAATCCATGGTTTATGTTTCTTATGTATGCAAGAAATATATTATGTTTATCTCTTAATGTCTGATTGGAAGGTAGTTTTTTTTTGTGTGCTCTGTGTATATTTGACTCGACCCATATTTACATCTTTGTGATTTCTACATAGTCAACCCATATTTGATGTCAGTGATATTTCAGGATTTCAATCCTAGGCCGGTGTGTTCAGTCAGCATCACCCAATCACATAGAAGCTGCTTTAAGGGGATGTTCACATGAGGGCTCCGAATTTACAGCTACTTATTGTGATTCTTCCGGATGTTATTGACTTACTGGTCAATATGGTATGTGCATCCTTGAAAAATCTGTGCTTCGGTTGTTGTATGGAAATTGAAATTTATTCTATGCTTTATCAGGTTTCAGGGCAAAATACAGTGCTTAAGCGAGCCTTTGTGCCTAATGGAATACCTTTTGTCTTAGATGTGCCAGCAATGATTTTTGCTAGTTCAAACTTATTAGTAGTTGGAAAAATAATAGCACATATCAGCAAAGAAAAAAATACAATTTGGCCACATCAACGAGAACTACAGCTTTCGTCGCAGAAAAAAAAAATGAACTACAGCTACCAGTTGTGTCGCTACTCATGGGGCCATGTCACTGGGCTGCAGCTTGCGCCTACTATGCAACAGTCGACGAGCCGTGGGCATGCTCACCTTCTTCAGTTGTTTGGGCCGACAAGGCGACAACCAGCCAGCTCGGCCTTTTTTTTTTTTTGCTTCACATGGGCCACAATGTGCACACACAGAGTAGCAAACAGCACTTCAGCAGGTTGCTTAGTCCCACCTCACCAAGCCAGGAAGCATAGCTACGCAATTAATGAAGAATTATATGACATGAAATAGATATAATTAATGAAGAATCTTGTGATACCATAAATGTTATTATTTTGTTATATAAATATGGTTAAGCTTAAGATGCTTTGACTCTCTAAAAAAGTTAGAATAATTTATAATTTGGAACGGATAAAATGTCTGTATTTGATATCCCGTTTAAATATTTGAATTTGTATTTGACTTTCTCAAAATTTTATCTTTCCATGGTCTTTCTCAAATAAAGCTAATCCATCTTGGAAGGCTAGAGCAATGAAGACGCTGTGAGCCGGCCAGCGGGTAAAGGAGTGAGCGAGGGGCAAGATCGACATTTCGCATGTCGAGCTGGCCAAGTGGCGAGCCATCAAGGGGGATGGACGAGATTGAGCTCGAAATCTATTGTTTAAGGATGAAAGTGGACAATTTGAAAGTTTTGGGGCTAAACTGAGCCTCTAGATGATAGTTTAGGGACGAAAATGGTTGTTTTGCCTTATTGAAAATATGTGTGCTTCTTTCTCATTGATGTGCGGGGCGTGCTTAAGCATGCATTTGTAGGAAAGCAACCACATCGCATCATCAGATAGCAAAGAGGAATATAGTTGGACAGATTGGTTAGGGACTTAGGGTTAGGGCTAGGGCCCTCATGTGTGAGCGGAAATCGCTTTTATAGCAGTGGTCAACGACAAGGCTCTTTGCCTACCGTCCATCATATCTCGTATCATACATGCAATAAGGTCTTGTTTGGATATTGTCGGATTCTTATCAATCCACATCCAAACAAGGCCTAAGGATAGGTGTATTCGTTGCTGGTTGCTGCTACTACGGACATACTACATGCTGAAACAACTTGTGTATATATAGTAATATATAATATGTATAATCTAAACCTTAAAGTAACTTAAGTACCCTTCCATTATTGCTTTCTCCTAATAGTACTTGAGTTACTTAACTTTAAAGCATTATTAGGAATTATTATCATTTATGTGGAAGTAACACAGGATAAACGTAGTTGTTGAAGAGATCATCACGACACGTACGTACGTATACAGCACGTTTGAATCGTGCGTGTAAATTAGCTGGGGCTACTTATAGCTAAATAGCTCCAAGGGAAGAGTCAATGGCGACGACCGACCTGTGCGGCGGAGAGCATGGAAAGCAAGAAGAGAGAGCGCCGAATAAGACAAGCATGCTCCCAGATAAGATAGCGACGCCGCGCACGCGCCCAGCCAATGATGGATCATTAACAAATTGATTGATTGGCCGGCCCTAGCTAATTAAGCTTAACGTCATGCGTTACCTCCTCTTTAGAGTTTAGACCCGCTCCTTGCCGGCCTTTTCCATCATGCTAATGCTAATTAAAGGGCTAGCCTAGGCTACGATTGGTTTACCATAAAAAGACAAATTAGAGCTGAGAGAGAGAGAGGATATGTAATAGTACTAATCTTTAGAGAGAATATATTCTCTTGGGCCGAACGACGAATGATGTAAATGTGTTCCTAACTTGGATTCCTGGCCTCCTTTTACTCTCCTTTTCCTTTTTCCTTTTTGCAAGGGAATTAAGTTCTTCATTCTTCTCTCAAGCAAGCTAAGAGCCGCAGGAGCAGCAGCTAGCTAGCTTTTGATCTTTAAGCAAGCTAGTCCCCCCGGAAGTTTTGGCTTTGGGAATGGTTCACTTCTCCAATGGATCCCCGCAAGTGGCAGGGTTACTTTGGCCTTGTCACCATTCATCACCCTTTTCCGGATCGACGACATTTGTTAAGGTCTCGTTGCTTGTTGCTTGTTGCTTGGAGCGCCTGAGTGATGAGTTGTTCAATTCGCACGGGATCGGACCACATTCCTGCCTGCCCCAGAGACGCGCACGGAATAGCCGCCGCTGATGTTGAAATCTCCGCTCATCGGACGGGTCACACATGCCATGCCACGGGATGTTGAGTTCCGTCCGGCACGCATCTTTTAGGCTACTTCGAGAAATGCTTTTTTACTGGGCCCTCCGTTCCAAAATAAATGTACGTCTTGCCTTTTAAGTCAAACTTTTTTACCTTTGTCTTGAAGTATGAAAAATATTATCAAATTTGCATTTTAGAATTAATATATTTTGAAAGTATAATCCATGTTTAATCTAATGGTACTTATTATACATTATAAATATTTATGTATTTTTGTATAAGTTTGATCAAATTTTAAAAAGTTTGACTCCTCCAGAAGAGCGAGATATGCGATTATATTTGGAATAAATAGAGTACTTCTGATCGACAACAAGCGGAATCTCTATCTCTATCTACCTCAAAGAGACTTTCTTCCTTTTTTTTGTTTCGTTTCTACGAGTCTCTTCGCCTGTCTTCGTTCCCCGTCCCTCTGTTGTCGTGGAGATCGAAACTCATTGGTCGTTACAAGTGTATAGAAACACTTGTTTATATATATGGACAAAACTAAAATGAATCAGAATTTTCTAAAGAAAAGATCCTCGTCTGTCCCTTTACGATACTTTCATATTTTCTCAGCTACCACCACATCCATTTTTCCACTGATAGCAAAATTCATACAAACATCAGAGTAAATAAATATGGTTATTAAATTAGGTCGGGTATCTCTTGTGCTAAATCAGGAAGAAACACCAAAGTCCTATTCTAAGCAACGAAACTTGATGGAACACCATCTCGCAGGCACCTTTGAGTGTTAATGTATCCCGACTATCATTTTCAAATATCTCTGCAAGTTAGAAAATCTGCATACAAGAAGATGTGTGTAGACCATAGTCCGCACCTACGAGAGCTTTTGTGAAAAAAAAACAGAAAAACAATGAGATATGGTTATCCTAATAATTTGGTTGTTATTTATGTTCTTAGCGCGCTGTAAGGACCGTGACGACTAAGAGAGGAATGAATTAGGCAACTTAAAACTCTATTTCTAATTATGGCCTCTTTTTCTAAAGCTTAGCAAAACCTATACAATTAAGTAAACTATCTAAATGTACAACTATGATTTTACTAGTGTGTTGCTATCTCTACCGCAAAAGGAGTTATGCAATCTAGCTAGTTTCAATCCTATCAGCTAGCGTACCAACTAAGTTAGAAAAGTAAAGCATACAACCATGGAAGCAATATAAACGCGGAAGCTAAAGATGAGTTAGAGATGCAAAGTCTCATTGATGACTCCGGTATTTTTACCAAGGTATCGAGAAGCGCTCAAGCTTCCCTCTAGTCCTCGTTGGGACCCTCGCAAGGGCCAAGCTCCCAGTCGGTACATGGTGGCGGCCACATCACAAACGCGGTTGGTATGGTCTCGTAAGACTATAAGCCCCGCCGAGTACAACAATGATGTGGCAAGCACCGAGTGGTAAGAGGTATGCAAACCTCACTAAACACTAGGCCTAACACCTAGAGCAAACGCAAAGTAGTGATTTAACTAACCTAAGCACTTCGTAAAGCACCTACATTAATAACTGAATTTTCACTAAGTACTTTGGTGGCTAGAGCAACTAAAATTGTGTCTCGACTCATATGGCACCTCCTTGAGCTCTAATACTCCATTTGGCCGGCCATAGGGGTATAAATAGGCCCACAATCAAATATGTTGTACGTTGGCCCCTTGGTGGGAAAATCTATCAACCGTCGGACCCTACAGCTCGGGACCATTGAACCAATTAGGTCAGGTCCGTCGCCCGCCCAACGGTTGAAACCAAGTGACCGTTTGAGCCGACTGTTCCCGCCTCCCTGCGGCTAACGCATG